ATAACAGTTCAGGAAGAAGAGAATGTGACCATTCCATGTTCCTATGATAACAAGTATGCTGATCATCAGAAACTATGGTGCAGGGAATCAATGGCAACTTGTTTTTCTCAAAGAGGCCGTATGTCAGTCACTGATTACCCTGATCAGGGTGTCTTCACAGCGACCATGAGGAGCCTGCAGAGACATGATTCTGACATATACTTGTGTGCTGTACAATCTGTTGGGGAAATCAGAGCAGTTGACGATTCATATAACATAACAGTCATCAAAGGTAATATGTTCTTAATATGACATTTAAATTGTTTTAGATATGGAATAGGCATAAGGGGGTTGATTCTGCAGTGAAGCACTTAAGTCAAAAAAGCACCTAAAAAGTTACGCACTTTCGAGTTAAGCGTATTCTCCCCTTCTCAGCGCGGACATGCCTCACCTAACCTGAAAGAGAAGGCGCGGCAGGGCAAGAAGCATAAATCTATGCTTAATGGGGTAGAGGGTTTGGAATAATACATCGTAGATTAAGCATATAACCTTACGTTTAAGCTTGTTTTAACTATGCAGTTCATTGCATAATTGTTTTCTCAACAATGCATTATAAACTTTCAGTCTATGTTACTAATAATACGAATATTTGCACCATATCTATTGTTTAGGCATATTTCCTTGTTTATTACAGAATTGATCTGAATGGGGAAAAAGCTGAAGTATATGCATTTGATTTTCTCTAATTTTAAAAATTAGTTTGATGTCAAACTCACAAATTTTTGTCTAAAATGTTGATTTGGTCGAATGATCAAAACTGAATTATTTAAAAACATTTTGTCTAGTTTTGTGTTTTTTGATCTTAAAACTGCAACAGTAGTGCCTATGTGTGATCATTAAATCTGAGCTTTAAATTCCATAATTTTAATATGCCTAATAAGTTCAGGCATTGTCAATTGCTCTGCACAAAATTCAGACACGGTATTTCACTAAAATTTTCTTTTTCAACATATTCACATCCCTGCCCGTTTTGACCCCTTGAGGTCCTGTTTGTTCCCTTGTTCCTGTTTCGGTGTAATAAAGCCCCTTTTTGTTCTCCTGATGCCTGCTCTCAAGCCCTTCGTTTCTCGTGCCATGATAATGTAGTCCGGTGTTTGATTCTTTTTATTTTGTGGAGTATGATTAGGGTGGGGTCTAAGTGCTGCGTTGATGCAGGCACTGCATAAGTGTGCTTTACGTTTCTGTTTTCCTTAACTTTGATTTGATTGGGTACTGTTTTTATATTCACCAATCAGGGAAAGGGAAGGGGGGAGCGGAAGAGGGGGCGCGGGAACTCTGGCGCGGGAATAGGGGGAGCGGCTGGTGGACGTGGAGGGGACACTACTGCTCGTCTTGTGGGGGACTCGCTGCAAACTGTGGAGCGGAGAAAAACGCCGGCGCACCCCGCGAAGAGGAGGAAGAAGCCCGCTGGAGCTGAGGTTGCAGGACTGCTCGTCTTGTGAGGAACTCGGGGCGAGCTAAGGAGAGTGGGGAAACGCCGCCGCCGCCGAGAGGAGAACAGATTCGTCCCGGGAGGGAAGGACTGGGGGACGGAAAAAAAAGTTATTGCCCGAATCCAGGACATGGAACCCGCCTGGAAAGGGGTGGACTGGTAGGCTATCTATTTTCTTTTGTTTTGGCTCTTCGGAGTGAAGTGGCCGTTTTCATTTGTGGTCACCACGGACACAAGCATCGAACAGGCCTGCCACGATTTAATTTTCTGTATATTTATGTGTTTTGATGGACTAACGGACTGAGGGTTATTGTATATACACTCACCTAAAGGATTATTAGGAACACCTGTTCAATTTCTCATTAATGCAATTATCTAATCAACCAATCACATGGCAGTTGCTTCAATGCATTAATGGGTGTG